GTCACAAAATAATTAACATTATTTTATATATTTATTTATTTATTATTTTATAATTATAATTTTACTAATCTTACACGATAACTTATAAAATTTGCGAAGTATTTACAATACTTACTGTTAACTTAGTACTAAAGGCATGGCTTGAATGCCGTCTAAAAATTTTACAGACACCTGAATTTTGCTAGTTTTTTTGTTTTCTTCAGAAGAACGCTTTATTCCCATTTTTGTGTTTCATTCCATACGCTGTGCTTTTTTATTATCCACGTTTCAGACAAAATTTTTTCGTAATAGAACCAGAAGCATGAAATCCAACGCTATGATGAGGTGTTAATAACACATTATTCTCGTCAAACCATGTTTTCAATATTTGTTTAGTTTCTTCTACACATATCTATAATATGCGTGCCTTTATATTCAATATGCATGGATTTCTCATTAACTCTTTCTGAAAAATATTGACTTGCATTCTGCACATTTCAAAGGATGTATCTGATGTATTAATTAGAGATGTTTCAGACTAAATGTTATATTTAAGTTTGGTGTGTTATTTGATAAAAAATGCGAATATATTTGAGGTATTAAAAGCAAAAGCCGCATATTAAATTTCAACACCATAATAACTCAAAGCACACAGTAAATATGGTTAGGGTATGGGTTGGTCGAAACCTCAGGAAAACGATATATATTCTAATGTAATATTTCAAATTAAGTTATTTCTAAAATAAGATTAATTTATAAAATAAGTACGTCAGAAGCTCTGAAAATACCCATTCTTCACTTAATACTTAAATACTTCAAAAGTGAAATTTGATACCAATGGTTATATGCAAAAGTTCGTTAATTTTATAAAAAAACGCTGTAAGTACCCATCAAAGTTCATATTAAACAGCTTTATATAATTGGTTTAAATAATTATTTGGAAGTCACAAATGATGTAGGATTTGTTTATGTTGTATGAATATTCTTTTTTTTCACAACTGCTGAAATTTTGTTTGTTTCCATTCCTATGTGATATAATATTTATTACAAATTGATTATAAAAAATCTTTATATATAAACAAAAGACAGTATTTTTTCTATTATAAGTTAAACAAATGAATATTATTTTAATGTGTAAACTCATTCTTGACTGTATGTGAGTGCTTGACATGAAAATTAATATAATTATACGTAGTATGGTGGACAGAGGACATTGCTCAATTAAGAAGAAATTGCCTTCAATGTAGGCGAAGACTTTCCAGGACCCGAAGAAGAAATTTGGCAGAAGCAGAAACGGCTGAATATAAACTCGCCAGGAAGACATTAAAGTTGGAAATAGCTAAAAGCAAAAAACGAAAGTGGGAAGAGCTCCGAAATGATATAAACAATAATCCTTGGGGGCTGGGGTACCAAATCGTGTTAAAAAAGTTGGGGTCTAGACAACCGCCCCCTATTTTCGAATCACATAGAATGAAAAATATAGTTGATTCACTCTTTCCGACACATGTTCCACTACAGGACAATGAAGAGTTGCATATAGAGGAAAGCTCACCGCAATTTACAGAGCAAGAATTAATAAAAGCAGTGAACTCATTAAAAAATAATAGAGCTCCAGGGCCGGATGGGATTCCTTTTGAAGTTCTAAAAATTTTAGCAAAAGACCGATCAAGAATATTATTGGACATGTACAACATATGTCTAGTTAACGGAGTCTTTCCGGAAGCATGGAAGAAACAGAAGCTTACTCTGATAAGCAAAGGAAAAGGAAACCCTGAGCTAGCAGAAGCATATCGGCCACTTTGTTTACTAGACACCGCGGGTAAACTGCTTGAAAAATTACTAAAACCAAGACTCGCTGCGGCGATAAACGACGCCGGCGGCCTCTCAAGTAGACAACATGGCTTCAGAAATGGCAGATCAACACTAGGAGCTATAGAAGACATAGTAAATACAGTAGAAACTGCACAAACGGGAAACCATTACTCGCGGAGGATAGTGCTTCTCGCAACACTTGATGTTCGAAATGCCTTCAACAGCGTAGAGTGGAAAAGTATTCTAAAATCTCTAGGTACTAAATTCAGAATTGCCCCGTATTTAATGAAGATGATCCGCAGCTACTTGAAAGATCGCCTACTTGTCTATGATACTCAGGAAGGACAAAGAGAAAAATGTATCAACTCAGGTGTAGCACAAGGATCTATTTTGGGCCCCGATTTGTGGAACGTGGTATATGATGGAATCCTGCAATCCAAGATGCCTGATGACACACACCTCGTTGCTTTTGCAGATGATATTGCAGCAGTAATTACGGCAAGAAATACGGAAAACGCTCAGCGGAAGCTCAACATGGTGATGATACAAGTGCAAAATTGGCTAAATGCACACGGTCTTAAACTCGCCACCGAAAAGACTGAATTGCTGGTACTCACTAAACGTAATATACCGTTGGAAATTGGAATGCTCGTTGGCGACAGCACCATATATACGAAAAAGGAGATCAAATACTTGGGGGTGAAACTAGACTCTAAGTTGTCTTATTGGGCTCAAATAAAACAAGCAGCGGCAAAAGCAAGCAAAGTTGTTACGATGCTAGGAAGACTGATGGCTAACGTGAGAGGTCCTACCCAGAGTAAAAGAAAATTACTTATGGCGACCACAAATCAAATATTACTTTACGGGTGCGAGATTTGGGCAAACGCCTTAAAGGTTGAATGTAGGAGGAAAGTTTACGCAGCTGTACAGCGGACTGCTGCACTTCGGGTAGCTTCTGCATATCGAACCGTATCCGAGCCTGCAGTTCTGGTGATTAGTGGAATCATCCCTATCGACCTTCAGGCACATGAACGGAAGAAACGCTGGAAACAGAGATCGACAAGCAACACAACAGACCTTCAAGATATAAGAGAACAAACTTTTCAGATCTGGCAACAACGGTGGAACTCCGATTTAAGAGGAAGATGGACGGCAAAGCTGATTCCGAACGTAAAGTCGTGGACGGAAAAAATTTTTCGGCGAGATTGACTATTATGTCACACAGTTCCTATCTGGTCATGGATATTTTCGAAAATATCTATATAGAATGCAAAAAGCAGAGCAGCCCAACTGTATATATTGCGGATTAGTCGAAGACAATGCTGAGCATACTTTCTTCAACTGCGAAAGATGGCGTGGGGAAAGAACACTACTTGCAGGATATATAGGTCACTTTACAGTAGATAATATTGTAGAAAAAATGATAGAACGAGCAGAAAACTGGAACAAAATCACGCAATTCATCGGAAATGTTCTAAGAGAAAAGAAGAAAGATCTGGACGCAATCTAATCTTAAACGAAGAGCACAAGTGAGAACCGGAACACATACTCTGAGATTGGAAAAAGTAGACTGTAGGGCAAGATTAATTATCTGCAACAGTAGCGGAGCCTGGACGCAAGGCACACCGATGGAAGTCTTAAATGACTAATAGGGACCCTACCTCGAAGTAATACTAACGTAGTCCCGGGGTAGAAAAAGGTCTCTAGAAATGAGGGGGAGCGGTTTAGCCAGTGCGAGTCGGGCACTCACCTTCCGGGGCGCCGGAAGGTGGTCAGTGCGTAGGCATTCCACTCCTCCTTGCCGCAAAAAAAAAAAAAAAAAAAAAATATGAAAAAAATAGAAGTAAATGGACTAATGCTTATTAATAGTCAAAAGTATTTATACACATAGTTTCGCTTCAAAATTATTTACACAAAACATTAATTGAATTTTTTTCTTAAATAATGAATTTTTTAAAAAAATTTGTATGCTTATTTAATTAATATAACTGAAATTTAATTACACCACCTTTGGCATCAATAACTGCCTGCAACCTAGTTGGAATTGGTTCAATCAACTTGCAAGTCAATTTGGACCGAATTTCTTTTATTTCCATTATGGTATCTTACGCTTTCAATTTTTATCAACAGCGCTTTGCTTTGCTTTTTTATGAAGTCCCAAACATTTTCAATGACATTAAGATCAGGGCTCTGTGGAGGCCACGGAAGAACAGTATGATTCAACTCTTAAACTTTGGTTAGCTCTACATCCTTTATGACATGGTGTATTGTCATGTTGTGGACTCTCGTTATTGGTTGGAAGGAGTCTATTTTCTGACGTTAAGGTATGGTTATTTAAAATACCAATATAACCGGACTAATTTAAGGTACCATTTTTGGACACTAAATTTTCAAATCCATGGCATGATAGACATTCCCAAAACAGCACAGTGCCACCTCTAAATCTGTTATATGGCTGCACTGCATTATTCTTTTGGTGTTGTCGTAAATACTTGGAATGCTTGCAAAATGAACCCTGTTGCATTTTTGACAAGACTTATTGTAGTATTTTTTATGACTGGTCCTAATAATCTGTATTTTTTTGATTAAAGATAAGGTTGCGCCTCTCTTCAAATTTTTCAAATTTCCGCATATGTTTTTTTAACTAAATACTAATTTACATTGGGTAAATATTTTTGACCCGAAAAAAATGTGTGTAAATACTTTTGACAACTAATAAGCATCAGTGCATTTGCTTCTATTTTTGTCATATGAACAGTTAGTTATCTTTTCAATTTTTTTTATTTAGTTCTGCATAGATAAAGCTAAGTGACAACATAATTTTTTTTGCAACTTACTTCTAATAACAAAAAAAAACTTTTTATTGCAATATGCACAAACATTTTCGTTGTGTAAATACTTTTGACTAGAACTGTATATACATATAAGTTGTCAAAAACCTAAATTATAGGAAAATATGTCGCGATTAGTCGCTTTAAGCTATGTTACAAAATATAATACAATAATACAAACGATATTATTTTATAAGGGGATTAAGCGCTATACATCTAAATTTCAATATTTCGTTGAGTAAACAATTGGTCGCTTTAAATGTTGTCGTTATCAACGATTTCGATTGCATATTATTTTTATTAATGTTTTAAATAGATGATTGTAATTTATATTGTAATAACACATTTACACAGCATTTAACAATAATGTCTCTTTTTAGGACCTGGTGGCTTTTCGGAATATATTCTATTCAGAAAATCGTGGGAAGCAAAAGGCTTTGGATTTACTTTACGCGGCCAAAACGATTTTAAACTAGAAAAATTTACTGCAGGTTTCCCAGAATCTTTTGATCCTTACTATGGCGTGAAGGATAATGGGGATATTTATGATAAGGAAAATCAAGACTCGTTTGCAGACTATATTTTTAAGCATTCTGAAAATGGTGTCCATTTTGTTATGGCGGATGGTGGTTTTTCAGTTGAAGGTCAAGAAAATATTCAGGAAATTCTTTCAAAACAACTTTATCTCTGTCAGTGTTTAACAGCGTTGAAAATTCTTTGCGAAAATGGAAGTTTTGTGTGCAAATTTTTCGATTTATTCACACCATTCAGTGTTGGGCTAATATATTTAATGTATAAGTGTTTTGATGTTATATCAATTATAAAACCAAATAGTAGCAGACCAGCTAATTCCGAACGTTATTTAGTATGTAAATGGAAAAAAGCAAATACAAGTGTTATTTGTTCGTATTTAGATTATGTGAATAGTTTTATTAATGAAAGTCGCGGAGATGACGTAATTGAAATTGTAAATTTGGATCTTATAACAAATGATTGTGAATTTTTTAATTACATCACAGCATCTAATAACAACATTGGTAAAAATCAAATAATTGGTTTAAAAAAAATTTTAGCTTACTATCAGAATCCACAACTTCGAGAAAGCAGGCAATCAGAGATTAGAAAACAATGCTTAGGATTATGGAAACTTCCTGACAAATTACGACAGGCTCCTGAAGTGAAGTCACCTGAAAAAATATTTGAAGAACTTTTAGGTAACTGGTATGAAGACAAAGTGTTACTTTCATCTATTCCTGTAGATCTTTATTCCATCGAAACTTTGCACAAAAATATTGACAGTATCTACGATTGGTACTTTGTGCCAATAGGGAGAGGTGAAACCAATCTTAATAGTTGTAGCATTTTTCTTAGTAAGTCTCGCGGAAATTTGCTTCGATATACTGATAATAAAAAATGGGAACCTATTGAATATATTTTTGAAATATCTCCTAAGTCACTTTTCTATGGTGAAATTGTATTTGAATATAATGGAGAAGGTAGAACGCAGACACGTGCTTGTGGGTTACATATTATTGACGCTATAATACTAGGAGGAAAGGATATACGTAGGTTGAAATTAAGTGATCGAATTAAAATGTGTCAAAAATTTAGTTTAAGCTTAAATAAACCATATAAGGACGGAAATATTGGTTTTATTCGAAGCAAACCTTTGTATAAACTAGAAAAAATAAATCAATTTTTTGATGAAATGCTACATTATACACTGAAAGACAATTCTCAACGACTCGGTTATGCATTAAATGATAAAAAGTTTTTTGTTCCTGGTGGAATTTTGTTCTTTAGTGAAGTTTGTCATCTATTTTTTTCAAAGATGTCAAGTTCAAGAAACATGTTGTACTACTTTAATAAAACCGACAATAAATCTTATTATATGGATTCTATGCCATCCGCATTGAAAAATACATTATATGCATCTTTTAGAAATAGTTTTATTAGACGTATGTTATGGAAATGGACAAACATCACACAAGTCGAAAAACATGGCATACAAACAGATTCGAATTTACTTTATCGCAGAGATATATATAACTTTGTATACAACAAACAAGATTCTGTAATAATAAACTAAAAACAAAATTCGTATAAACATAATATAAACAATTGTATTATATGTGTATATAAAGTATGCAGTGAAAAACGTATAAACCATTTATTATCCCTTTACAAATAAACGAAGAGAAAATAACGTATTGTAATTAGGATTGCATCAGTCGTACTATTTGGCACCAATCCAAACTAAACCATTACTAAAGTGTTTTGGCTCTACAAAGCTACAATTTGTAAGAAGAAAAATGTGCAGTTTTCGAGATATTAGCGGTTTAGGCAACATGACGGTTTTGGGGTGATAAATATATTTTTTCACAAAAAGAAATTAACTAAAAATATTTCTATTGGTATTCTTAAAGTGCAGAGTTTAGGCAGTATATTTTAAGATGTACTTAGGGCATATTCAATTTTGAATTTTGACTAAATTTTAAAAAATCTTGTACTACTTTTATAATGTACATAAATAAAAAATTTTTTGAAAACATATCTATACTTATGTGTTACAGGATAAGGAATTTTTGGTTAAAATATATTGATTTTATATATATATATATTTTATTTTATCCTCTTTTAATTTAAGAGGATTTATTTCGTCAAGAACTTATTTGCAAATTCTTTCCTTTATGATGAAAGAAACTTTGCTATCTCATATTTTCTCAAAAATATTTTAAAATAAATTAGATTTTATTGGAAGGAGGTTTTGTCTGAAAATATATACGTAACTTAGATATCTGCTTCTGATTAACACAATTTTTTTGGGTTTTAAAACATATGAATTTAAAACTCAGAAAAAAAGTAAAACTATGTATTATTATAGAATATATTAACGTAGAGATTTTATTGTTTTTTTGCTTAAAATTTTTATTTGTTTTTTTTAATGTAACAATAAATACTGAGCATTTTAATTTAAAAAAAATCATATATAAAGGTTGCTTTTGTTTCGTTTCGACCGACTATTTATAACATATATTTTTCGTTGTATTAAAGGTGATATAATTTTATATAGCTAAAATATCAGTTTATTCTAGATTAAACAAAAAATGTTTTATTATTTTTTGTAAAATTTCAATTTGAGTTTGTATAACTCCAATATCTGTTCAAAAATTTGCATTTATCTTTTTGAGCTTGTAAATTAGATTCTGCTAATTTTAGAAATACTTTTCACATTTTTAATTTTATATAATATACAACTTTTTAAATTAGTCATAAAAATATATTTGTTCAACTAATTTAAGATGTATGTATTGTTTTACGTTTATTGATGAACTCATTCAAAAATATATAAATAAAATTATTAAAGAGAATATTTGATTTTTTTTCTACTTTTTTGAAGAATTACTCTGTACCCAAATAGGTACAAAATACTGAGAACTAGTATGATAAATTATTTTTTGTGTTTTCAATTTGAGAATTGCTCTCTATATATTTCAATATAAGCATAAATAGTATCTTCATCTGATGTTTTATTACATTTGTGAAATTTAAATGATCTGTTTTGTAACATGCTTTAACATATTAAATAAGACTTATTA